TTATGTTTTTTAATAGTAACATTGTGGCTGCATGAATATTGTTATTTAACATAGCATTGGTTTGAGTTATCTTAGGAAGATACTGCATTGTGTTGAAGTATTATATTTTTGTACTCTTTTTGTCTGCTATATGACTTCTATAGTTATACAATCTTTTTATCATGAAGTATTAGACAATTTTTTTCTAAATAATCCATAGAGTTGGATGCTCCATAAATTATGCAGCAACTGACTACCTTTGTGCTTTTTAATGTTGAGTCCATAGTATCAACATCTCAAACTTTCAACTGAAATATCTAGTATGGCTGTCACGAAATTCTTGAGAGACAAGAATATATGGAAAGAATAACCATTGCTTCAGATAAAGAGGAGTATAAGATGCAGATAAGATGCGAGTCAACTGCTGTTTGCCAATGACACTGCCCTTGTGGGTGACTCAGAAGAAATGCTACAAATGTTGGTGAATAAGTTTGGATGGTTATTTACAAGGAGGAATATAGTAGTAAATGTTAACAGAAATAAATTGAACAAAATAAATATAGAAGGGGGACATGGAATAATAAATGTTAGATCATAAATAGAAAATAGTTAGTAAGCTGTTTCAGACATCTGATTGTACAATGTCAGTGAGTGAAACAGGTGATGTTGAATTGAATCATAGAATAGGAGAGTGAAATAATCTAATAGTTGAACTAAGAAATGAATGAAGAGAAAGAACTCTGTCAAAAGAGGCAATGTTGTGGATGTATACACGAATTGTTGAGCCAACATTACTGCAGTATATAGAAGTAAAATTTTAAGTTTTGCTTCAAGAGGAAGAAAGAAATTAGACAACAGAATTGATGTGCTCGAGAGAAAAACGTAGGGTGAATACAATGCAGAGCATAAGAAATAAAAAATACTTGGCAGAGATATAGAAAGGAAAGAAGATTTGGGCAGGTGCTGACTAGAGTTTGGAAAAGTGGTGTGGATTTGATGAGTTGATTTGATTCTATTTGTAATAAACTGGTGGGTATCTAGTGCAGTATAGTACATACTAATGGCACTGGCTCACCTGGATATCAATTCGACATTGCCCCACAATGGAGACTTGAACCTGTGTTTAATAGACTGCCAGCCCTATACAGTAACCACACTTTCATCTTATATATTAAAAAAAAAGTGACTAAAATGACCATTAAAGATTTTGAATTGAGAAAGGACTGACTCATTCTATAGTTATGACACATTACTATGATCATGGGCATCTGCGGGGTTTTTTTCAGGGGGGTGCAAGAAAGCAAGACACAGCCTAACATATCAGTTTATTCAAAACAAGCACTGTATATAGATCAATAGTATGATCAAGTATAATCCGAGTTACTTTTGAGTTCTCTATGATCAGCAGTATCACTTAGCAGTGTTATCACTAAATTATTAATCACAAAAATTATCATAGCGTTGACCTTCGGCATTAAAAACTAACGAAAATAATTAATTTGAAATCATTAAACCTGACAATCTAGGGATGGCCAATGCTAGCTGTCTGTCATGATGGTGACCTGTTCAATATTAGCAGTGTAATTTCAGTGGTTAAATACTTGTAGATACTGCAAGTGGTGCTTATCAGCTCTAAAATGATCAATTACGTCTTCAGTAAAGGCTTTCTTTCTATCCAACACCTTTTGGTGGTGCATACTGAGCATGCACAATTCAAACAAACATTTAGTTGATCTTATTGATCAAAGTCATGTCTGGACACGTCTCAGCATACTAAATGACCTCTCAACTTCACAAGTGGAGGCTGGAAGTGTCAAAAAGAGATCAGTAGGGGCTTCTCATACAGCAGGAAATAAATTGCACTGCAAATCAGTCAAGGACAAGGTTGCACCGAAATTAGATGCAGTTTTCTTCTGGGAATGTTGACATTGTATCCACATTTCAAACCAAGACTGCGACTCCTCGGCAAAATTATCTATGTTGTAAATATCATTTAACAACCACTGGATTTTTTCTTACATTTCTATGCAACCTGGTTTTGCAAGTGACATGCTTAATATACTATACATGAACTCATTGTTGCAGATTTGTGAAGTGTGCTTATAACTCTCAAATATTTCCACATCAATAGACATAAATGTAAACTAAAAAAAATAAATAAAAAATGCCCCTAATGGTACCAAGTTCAGATGTCTCAACAACATTTTGTTTTCTCTTATTATCATTTATGGATAATAATGTAAATGAATATTATAATTTTAGTGTTTATAATTACTGTATGTGTAGTATTGTACTGGACAAATTGTGCAGTTACCTAAATATCCTACTAGTTATCAAAAAGTGAAAAAAGAACCAACAATTAATAAAGTTAATACATACCCAGTAGTCAGCTTTGATGACAAGTTCTCCTGTGATGTCGACATCATTATGGTTTTACCTGAGTCAGTCAGACAGGCCCAGCTGCCAGTTATCACTCTTGCCAATGACATGATAATTCTCACACACAGAGGAATTGCCAAAAGTACTGGCTTACCACTAATGACCATTTTGGGAATGTTAAGGAACAAACAGTTCGCTTAAAAATTGTAATATCGTACACATATTATAAACAAGAATTGCTGAAAAAAGAAAATTTCTCATATTTCAGGGGGTGCAAGTGAACCCCCTTACACCCACCTGCAGATGCCTGGGACTATGATACTGTTTAACGGTTTAAACAGAACAGTATTCAAGACATGCACAAAAATTCTCGTGTTAATTTTTCTTTAGTATAAGGTATATTCAACTTGCCTTATGCATCTTTGCTGTAACAGGCAGTATGAAAGCTAGATGTATGGTCAGATTTATATTGGCCTCCTGATACTGAAAAACATAATTTGAAAATGGAAAGCTTTGAAATAGAAGTAAAACTAATCTTCATGGCATGTTATTGTACAGTATCTGAATGTTTATTGTGTATTTGCCCCCTTGAGTCAGAAGATGTCTAGGTTTCCTTATATTTTCAGATTTTTCCATAAGAAATGGTATTTAATTGCATTTTTTAAGGTTGGTACTGTATTGATTTTGTATACTTTTGTATTTCTTCTCGTTTATTTAAATTTGCACTATTGCTATATGTCTAGCTTGTGTCAGTATTATTTCTCTGATCATGTATACATTTATTTATAATGAGTTTATGGCATTAATTGGTATAAATATTCTCAATGTTTATGTTTTGCTATTAAGAAAAACTTTCTTTTATCAATATTTTGTTTCAAGTTGTAAATAGGAAGCTTATCATTTTAACCCATACATAGTATATCAACTCAGGTCAGAGGGTGCATTTATACCACAGTCCTTACCCTTATAGCAGTGGTATAAAGATGTTTCCTAATGTGATTTTGAATATCTTTTAACTTTTGCTGAATAAGTGGACATAATTTATGTCGCATAAAATGAATTTCTACATTTGCAAATATTTAAAGTGAAAGTGACATTAAGTGATATCTTAATGTGTTGCTTACTCTTATTATTAGTGTATTGTACAGTAAAAATTATCTAATTTATGAGATTCATACCCACTAACCATTCACTAAGGCCAGTTAAACTCAGGATGTTTCTTAGTCATCCCAGATTTTTTTGTCCAAACATGACTATGTTGTGTTTTAGAAGTTAAGTAAAGTATGCTGTTTAGAACTGTTAGTATAATACAGTAGTTACTAAATGTCATACTCCCAACATTGTCTTATTTTATTTGTAAGAAGTAGCAGAAATTTACTTTAGCAAATACAATATTAAGTTACCATTTAGTGAACAGAGTCTGTTGTATCACACTTATAATCAACATAGCTATGAAGAATATGTATGGAAGTATGAATTTTAACTTAATTTCCATTAATTTAGAAAGCTGTTTTATTTTTTTGCTGTATCAGTTCTAGAAGAATATAATTAATAAGAAAAAGGATAGAATATTCAGAGTATTGTCAGAGAAAATTGATAGGACCAATATAGCAACCTTATCAAGAGCACGTCATAAATTGGCAGATTAGATATAATTAGTTTAAAAAGGATTAATTTGCTTTGTTAAATTATTACTTATTTATCATGAGTCATTATATTCCAATTACCAGTGTTAGCTTGCTTCCAGTTATTTATTTTTTTTATTTATGTATTTTTGTCTCATGAAAATTATTTGAATGAATCCTGCATGAAACCTACATGCTTCAATAAATTTTTGGTCATGTTGAATTAGAAAGCAGACAAAATCCTGTGGCTTTTGATAGTGTAATGGCTAATGGACTCCTATCATCACTGTGTAATGATTAATGGAACCCTCCCGTCCCCTAGTATATAGCGTACCCCATATACAGTATCCTTGTTTTTTCACGTTACTGAAGCTCAACAAGGCATCCATGTTAAATGATGAACATATTTATATGACTCTTCCCTTTCAAATTATAATGATGATACCAGGAAGCTGTTTCGATATTGAATTTTACATATGAATAAATAAAAATTTCTTTCTTTCACAACTGAATTGGTTATTGGCATGTTCATTTGAACTTTTAAATTAACCGAATAAAATTTAATTTGAAATTAATTATCAATTCTGCTATGTTACAGAAATTAAGTTTGATATTTTATATATTTTCCATATACAGGTATGTATATTTTTATACATTTAAATCATCATTTTTTATGTTTGTGAATTTGATTTTAAATATTTTAAATTCTGAAATGCAGTATATTATTTTTTATATTTTCCCGAATGGATATACTGTACTGTAATGTTCGAGTATAGTGTTGTGCTTATACTGTGTACCAGTAACCGTATGGCTTACAGATGAATTTAGTTGATAAGTGAGTTTTTCTTTTTTAATTCAATGGTTCCATCAGTATATTTGAAAATACATAATTTTGTCTGTTATTTTACTTTGCTTCACAACACTTGTATCTTAGTTACTCCGCTCTTGATGGTTGCTCCGTGGTCCCAGTAGGAGACAGCTGGCAGGCTGAGCTAATACTCTGTGTTGGTGTTTCAGTAAACCCCTTGTTTGACGCAGAGTGCAACTGGACGGAACGGGAGTATGCTTTGGCTTCCTGGGCATTCCGCAAGTGGAAGTACCATCAGTTCACTTCACTTCGAGATGATCTGTGGGGAAATGCCATCTTCCTCAAAGAAGCCAATGCTATTTCAGTCGAGCTAAAAAAGAAGGTAGGCTTCATTGTAGATAGCAAACTTTTGAATACTGTACTGTTTACAGTACTGTAATGCAAAATTGAAGTGTTTGAGATAATTCAAAATTCAAATTTCTTTTACTTTTGATCAAAAGTTATTCACAATTTGTAATGCAAATTAAGATTAGTAAAATTCCTAATGATTGAAATGCTTCAATATCTTACTTGATTAGGCTTGTGTTTTAACTATTCTCCCTTTTAAAATTTTGCTTAAGTCAATGAGTTGAATTTGAATTGCAATAGAAAGTCAAAGAGTCATGAAAATATGTATGTGTGAATATGTGGACATGGGTGCATGCATTTATCCATGTGTATGTGTGCATTAGTGTAGTACAGGTGCTCTGTACTTAAAAGCCCTATCATAAATTTAATAATTGTAAATTGAGTCATTGTTTCACAGTTATCTATTGATTACCATTACATATTGGGAGATAAATACCCGAAGAGAAATAACTTCTCCAAGACAATAAAATGTCACTTTGTAACACAAATATAACTTAACTTTTTGCTAGCCTGAATGTGCCTTATCTCCTCCAACTTAATATCTAAATTGATGGCTCTGAAAGGTACTGCTGTTGCTCATTTCACTTGCTGGTCACTTTCTGGGCATATCCAAATTGGGCAAATCATTTGGAAAATGCAAAAAATTGCAGGAGAGTTCTGTTTAAGATGGAACTGAAATTGAGAGATGCATTTGGCTTATAAGATATTTTATGACATGCTGTAACCTTACCAATGACTTGAAACATATGAGGAGCACAGAATCAAAATAGGACAAGTAAATGAAAAACAGACTAAAATAGAGTTAAAGTTTGCAAACCTTCAAATTACCATAACTTTGGAACCAGTGATGATATTGAAGTGATTCAAATGCCAAATTGTAACATTGTTAGCGCAGATTTAATTAGTACTAGTGAAAGACATCATACATATTGTTTTCAGGCATACCAGCGCTTGTCCTACTTCAGTTCTGTGCTCCTCATATGTCACGATCATTTTCTTTAGATATACTGTACATTAATGTGTAATTATATGTTTTTTAACCCAAAATGAAATTAAGCACAAATTAAGAAATATTATAAGTAGAAACAAATATAAATTGTTTACTATTGTAAAACTGAAATATCCTAAATAAGGTTACCATAAATTGAGCTTCACTTCTATGGCCACAAGTATGTGTGGAAACATGTGTGCATATGATATCTCATTTAATACAGTACACTGTATATCTTCTTGTTTGTGTCTGTGAGTAGTGTATTGCAGTTTGTGATTATGAAAGGTATTATGCATACTTAAATACATGTGTGCTGAAGGAGAATTCTAACAAATATTATTTGTCTTGTATAGCACACATGTGAAACATAGTTCAAAGGGTTTTTGTCATTTATTATGTAACTTGATATTCATAATGCTTTTGTCTAGTATGATCAATAAATGTAAGCCCCATAACATTATAGTATGATCCAGTTGCATCATAGTACAGTGCTATCCAGCAGCACAGAGCTGCCATGGTGATGTGGTATCGTTACATGTGGTACATTTGTCCGTGTCTCTCTCCCAAGTGTTTCTCTGGCGCCATCTTGCCAAGTTTACATTTCGAGATGTGACATGAGATCACTAATACAGTAATGTTCTTGCCATAAATGACGCCATAGATTAGCATGTGTGACCAATGTCTCTCTAACTAACTTCAATCTTGTGTTAGTGGCAGTAACTCTTGTTCTGTGAATAAACTGATAGATCACAAAATTGTTTCTCCCATAAATTGTCAGTCCCTTCTTGACTCACCTCCACCACACAGTCGCTTAGCCCTTATCTTCTCTTTAATTAACACCCTCTTTTCTCAACCCAGCATTCCCTCTTCCTATTTTTCTTTTCTATAGTATTTTTTGCTTGTTTTTTCCAGGTTCAGTTCCAGTTCACACTGTTGACCGACACATTGTATTCACCGTTACCTCCTGATTTCTTACCTCTAATGGAAGAGGATGAAGAGGAAGATGAGGATGACCGTCCTATTCCCCGTACTATTGTAGCTGTTGAAGTTCAGGATACAAAGAATGGCGCCACACATTATTGGACGTTAGAAAAATTGAGGTGAGTTTCCATGTGTGGTGGATTCTGCATACTGTATCCTCTTTTTCCTTTATCCTAACCCATGTGATGCTGTTTTTATTTGCCATGGTTTGGTTCTTGATATGAGTCTGTCGTTTTGAATATGTTCACCAGTTTTGTGTTGCTATTGTCTAGGTTTAATGATCATAATAATTGTTGGTCTTCTGTGTTCTGCTGAAATGTGGTGGTTGGCCTTCCCAACATCATTACTACATATTAATGTAAGTTTAACTCCCTTATGTGTTATATTCTGCTTTATTCGTTTTGTATTACAGTACTCAAAAATTTGAAATCCTTTATCTCGTCATGTAGTGGATAGTTTTAACCATGTTACCACTAATTATTTTAAATGGATTAGAGAAAGATAAGTGTTGATTAGTATGTAGGTGCTAAATGATGACTAAACATATTGAAGTCCCCAAGTATTGTAGACAAAGTTTGTTCAGCATTTTGTTTGTTGGAGTATTTGCTTGATAAAACTCTTTACCAAATTGGTAAGTAAAACACTGATTTTTGATAGCTGTAGTTGTGACAGAACAGAGAGCATGCACAGTAAACGGTAAGTAGATTAAAATTTCCTTATAAGGGTCAAAGATACCTCAGTCCCAAACTTTGTCTACAATCCTGGCAGAGTGCTGAGTAGAATACGGACTGAAATCCATTAATCAGGATGTCACAAATTTAGATAATTGGGGCTTTTATACAGTTCCAGTTAGACATCCTTTCAGTCCAAAACTAAACTGTGCTTTGTTGCCATGCATTGTAGACATCGTTTGGAGTTGATGCGTCAAATCTACAACTCTGACGTGAGCCCATACTCCCCGTTGCCCTCTCCGCCAACTGAGCCCCAGGGAGATGACGAAGTGCAAACCTGCATACCAGCGTGTAACCAGGCCAGGCTCTCCCTGTCCCAGCTGCTGCCTACGAGGCTCCAGAACTCCCGCATGTTAGTGTTGATCCTGATACCCAGGTCCAAAGAATCTGTGTGCATCATATTCCCTTACATGGTTGTAGATTTTGGTGTTTATATTTTTAGCAAAAGTTTACAGAGGAGTGATTTACAGGGCTCTAGTGGCACCAGGAAGAACTGGTGAATGTTTTGAATGTCCAAAAGTTGCTAGAGCTAGCTTCTTCACTGACTATAATACTGTAATGCTTTGTTTATAATTTTGTTTTAGTTGTTCTTGTTTGAGTTTTGTTATACTGTACTGTATTACAGACTAAATGTTGTTTATCAAAGCAATTGTTTTGATCAGCACATATTAAATAATCTAAATAAATTGTAGCAGTTTACATTTTAAAGCTTTTTTATTATTAATTTTAGCTTATAACGAAAACATAATTCTCAGTAACTTGACTGCCTTCAGTTGTACCTAATCTTATCTTTGCAGTTGCCCACAACAAGAATATAATACAGTGTATGCAAGACAAGGCATTATTATATACAATAAACCCATGCAGACATTTTATTTTATTAAATGAATCTCTATAAATCAAAGAAGACGTTGGAATTTCACTACATTGATTGACGTAAGTGTATAAGGTAAGAAGCAAAGAGGGAAAGATGGAGGCTACCACTGCCTCAAACCCTCCCTCACCTTTTTCAACAGTCCAGTAATACCCCGCTTTACGCGGTTCTTGTTTACGCGTTTCTACATTTACGTGGTACCCCGCCAGAACCGGAATTCACACTTTAAGCGGTGCATCTACTCATATACGTGGAGAGCGACTGGCGGTCTTCTCACAGCGCTTTTTTTGGATTCAAACCCCCCGCCATCCTGCCATGTTGGGTAAGCGGCGCAATGTATGTCTTTGTTGCGTTATCGGTGACGTCATATGACGTATCGGACTGTGATTAGGCCACGCATCCTTACCTCCCTCCCCGCTAGCTGTGATTGGTTTAATGTAATATGGCGTGCCCTGCCACGGGAGGGATGAAGCCGCGTCAGTTACACCCCTCCCTGCCACACCATGTATACCGGCATCTATTATTCCATAAGAATGGCTGCCACCGGACCACCACCACCACAGAAAAACCTTGCATTACCTGGACCCAGCCGCCCTAAGCTAAAGAAGATACGACGTGCCCTAAGCTACGATGTGAAGTACAAAATTATCCAAGAGTTGGAGAAAGGAACAAGACAGGTTGATCTCGCGCTCCAGCATGGAGTTAACGAATGCACAATTCGTACTATTAAGAAGGAAGCAGCCAAGATAAAAGAACACATGAACATCACAAAGTCTGCAGGTGCTTCAATGATCAAGTATTGCCAGAACAAGGTGCTTCTCAAGACGGAGAATTTACTTGTGAGCTACTTGATTCGTCACGCAAGACGGAACATGGCGGTCGACACGCGGTCAGTTCAGGAGTACGCACGTGAACTGTACGCAGCAGTGTCACGTAAGATGGGAATTGCAGAGCCCAAACCCTTTAATGCTTCCTCTGGGTGGTTGCAGAGGTTTAAGAAGAGGAACAAGATCACCAATATTAACATTGGTGGCGAAGAAGCTAGTGCTGACCGTGTTGCGGCTAGGGATTTTCCTCCGTTCTTACGTGAGATTATGGAGGAAGGACCGTACACCGACGACCAGGTGTTCAACATGGACAAATCTGGTCTGTTTTGGAAAAAACTACCTTCCAAGACCTTTGTTGCCCAGTCTGCCAGCAAGTGTCGGGGCCGGAAGTTGCAGAAGGAGCGCATCACTGTCCTCTTTACCACCAATGCCTCCGGTTCCTGTAAACTCAAGTTATCGGTGATCCACACAGCCCACAAGCCACACGCCTACAAGAACATGGACATGACCAAGCTAAATGTCCACTGGCTGACCGCATGTAAGGCGTGGATGTTCTCTACTCTGTCCCTCTCCTGGTTTGATGACTGTTTCGTTCCCGACGTGAAGAAATTCTGTGAATAACAGAATGTTCCATTCAAGATTTTGTTGCTCCTTGACAACGCACCAGGACACTCGCCCCTACTGTTGGATCGTCACCCCAATGTAAAAGTGGTCTTCCTTCCTCCCAACACTACGTCATTAATCCAGCCCATGGACCAAGAATTAATCTGCAATGTGAAAGCTGCATACTCTGCAAAGAAGTTTAAGCTCCTGAACGACTGTACCAACACCAAGGATGAGTTGCATAACCTGGGTGACACCGATAGCAAGAGCGACGAGGACGAGGAACAACAGTTGGCAGAGCAAGAAGTTCTCATCAAACACTTTTGGAGGAAATTTAACGTCAAGAAAGCTGTGGACTTCTTGGTGGAGGCATGGGATCAGCTGTCTGTAGCAACAGTTCGTCACGCATGGAGACATGTGTTGCAAGGTATCCCAGGTGGGAGGCAGAGTCAATCTGTGACTGGTGAGGTTCAGACTGTTGCAGTAGCAGTGAACCTTGCCAGAGAAGCTGCGCAGAGTGTTACAGCTGCAGGCTTCTCCGAGACCACCAACGAAGACATCCTGGAGGTGATCAGGGATCCTGAGGTGACTGCCGACAAGATGTTAGAAGACGATCACGTCAGTGAAGAGGCAGGTGGTGCGTCATCCCGAGAAGAAAACAAGTTAATGCATGGTAATGTTAGGGGTGCCATCGGGTGTGCAGAGAAACTCAAGCTCCTCCTTTCCGTTGACCCTGACGATCACCTGTATGAAGTCTTCACTACCCAGCTGTTGCAGACTATGGAGCCGTACATCAAGGTCTATCAATACAACATCAACACTAGCCGTCAACAAAGCATTACCGAGTTCTTCGCCCGCAACCCACCACAGCCAGCCCAAGCCAGTGATAGTGACAAAGACAGTGATGGTGACTTTGAGGGATTTGTCAGGGAGGCACTAGTATGCGTGGATGACAGTGATGGTGACTCACCTGAGGGCCAGTAGTCTGCCCTCTGCCTCGGAACCCGCCGCCATTCCCGTACGCTGACCCATCTCTTCTACTAATGTAAGTGTTAAACCTAACCTTGATTTTTCCTAACATAACCTAACCTTATGTAAGTGTTAAACCTTGATTTTTCCGAACATAAGCTAACCTTAGGTAAGTGTTAAACCTTGATTTTTTTAAACATAACCTAACCTTACATAAGTGTTAAACCTTGATTTTTTCTAACCTAACCTAACCTGACGTAAGTGTTAAACCTTGATTTTTCTTTTACCTGATGCAGTATATTATTCTCTTATTGATATTTCTCTTCTATATTATGTGTGTGTGCATACCATCATAAAGTTAAGATGTTATTTTTACTAAAACGTACTTATTGTGTCGGGAAAAAGTGGAGTTTGGGGGTCGGCCCAGTCTATATTTCAATTAATCCCATATGTTCTGTTGTTCCATTTACGCGTTTAATGTTTTACGCGGGCCTCCGCGGGTTAAATTGACCGCGTAAAGCTGGGTATTACTGTACTCACTTACAGCTCCTCAATGGGATGATCATCAACCTTTTGTTTGATTAATACATTTTCACTGAACTTACTTGTTAGGGGTTTACTGGATATATTAAAGTTCCATTATGCATAAAAAATTAAAGATGCAAAATGTAGCATGGTAACCTGGCTTCTTATAAGTGTACACAGTGCAGGTCTATACTGTAGGCTGCAGTTGACTAGAATGTAAGTACTGTACGGTACTTGTAAATAAATATGTAATATATATGTTAATATCACCTCCAATGCATATGCATTAACCCTTTGAATGCAAATTAAGATTTCATGGGCAATTTCATTATTGAAAAATTAAAGTACTACTGTATTAGGAACTTTTTTATAACTTTTCCAAGACAAAAAAATCCATGAAGATTCCATACCAGGGTACAGTAAACCCTTGAAAGTTTGGACCCCGTAAGTCCGGATATCGGACAGCCCAGACCCTTTTCAGGCAAGAAAAATATGTCCAAACCCTTCAATATTTGTCCGAACCCTTCAGTATTTGTTGATTGAAATACCTGCCACTCGCGGTCATTTGAAATTGTAGCGAGTAATCCCTTGGCATCTTTCGTCCTCTCGGACCCATTAGTGAGTACGTAGTTTACAGTATTCCTCCACTTATATGATATTATTATTATTATTATTATTATTTTAATTTATTTTATTTTATTTTATTTTTTTACATTCTGTATGTAGGATTGTGGGCATGTAATTGAGTAAAAAAAAATAATATGAAGAAATATATGTTTATATGTGCAGGAGGGGGTTTTGAGAATTGCAATTATACGGTAAATGCCAGGTAGCAACGTGTCTTCCTAATATTACATATTTAAGTAATTATTAGATGTTTTAATTGCCTGTATGTTGGCCTTGCGAGTTAATGCTAGGCATTTACATACCTAGGTATAAAGCTAGACGTCGCATTCTGGACTATATCACAAAAACTGGTTTTTAGAAAAAAAACGGCTTTATCTACCCAAAATTATGAGTTGAAAAATTACCATAACATAGCTCACACTTCGACTGATAGGGAGAGGGCTTGAGGATGTGGCTGCTCCAGCTGACTTCTAGGGCACACGATTTGAGTGTTTGCCGGGACCCAAATTAGTATAAACAGGGAAACTTTCGTCACATGAAAAAGAGGTGGTAGTTTAGGAATTTGTACAAGTGAATTTTCGTATCTCAAACATTCTTATAGCAAGGGATACCTGTACTGTACTGTTCATTTGCTAATATTCTAGACATGATTATATTTCAATTTTTTTGTTCTATACTGAAAAATTTTGTAATTTTATATACAGTAGTGTAATTTTTTATAATCCGACTGTTTGCTTCAGATGCATGTTTGTGCAGTATCACCTCAAAACTTGAGTATGTTTGCTACATCATTATTTTTCTGGTGTTGTTTATGTTAGAATATAATTACTGGATGTTCCAGATGTGCAGGTATCCAATAATTAGTTGTCCTAATGCATCTTGCGTATCTAAACATTTGAATAGACACAGGGTTCCTTGCTACAAGTCTAGCCTTCTAAGGAAATTACCCTGCTCAGGTGTATGGCAGTCTTGACTAATCTTGACTTGAAAATTATCATGACAAAAGTTAAACATTATGTTATGCAGAAATAGTATTGGGTATAAAGACATTGTATATATTTTGAATGAATAAATGTTCTCTTGTTGTACAACGAGCTTTTAGGTGCATGAATGAGCTAAAGGTCCTCCGTGACTGGAAAATGGCATATGTGAGTCCTATATTCAAACAGAGTGATCACCATTGCACTAACTGATGCTGGCTGGTGAGTTTGACCAGCATAGTGTGTAGAGTAGTAGAGAACAATATGTGCAATGCCATGATGGAACATCTACAAAATCTCCCATGATGACAGATGGGGCTCTGAGTGCTTTCTGGTTGATTCTATGAAGATCTGCCACTTCTCCCTCCAATGTAAAGTCAGCCCTATATGTATAGTACACACCTACTGTCAGCTTGTTTTTATTTTGTGCTATCAAATAAACCAATTAGATTCGGATGATCCCATTTTATTTAGCTCATCTTTACTAGTTACTGTGTCAGGTGTTCCCTGACATACAGTAGTACACCACCACCTCTTGTAGCCCTGTTCTTTCTGAATAGTGGGTGATACCCTGATAAATAAAATTTACCCTGCAACTCATCTTCTCAACCCCATGACCCACCGATCCCAGTGATGTCTGGTTATTCTGTGTCTACATATGAACCCAATGCTTCAGCCTTATTAATTATACTTAAGGCATTTGTGTACCAACACTTTCCAGTACAGTATAGAACTCTTTGAAGGTTGTTGGTCTTGAGGGTAAGCAGAATCACTCATGTTTTCCTTGGGGGATTTGGTCTCTCTGTGTTAGTAGTATTACTTAAAGCTATCAGCGTGCAATGTATTAACATTATTTACAGGTAGTTCTTCTCTTGCCACTACTAGTGGGAGAGCTGGAACATTACTTTGAACTCCCCACCTCTCTGTACCCTGAGTACTTGAACAGTGGTTGTGTATGGAATCAAGAAGCAGGAAAAATATGGCTATATCTCATGGGCTGTCGTTACCCCTGAAAAATGTAAAATTACCCCTTTGGAGCAATTTACCCCTAATTGGGAACTGCAGCCTTAAGGCATGGTGTCCTAATTGCTATCAGGCAAAGTTTTACAGCTGCATGTACTTTGTATACTGTCACCAACCAACCTCATACTTGCTTTGATTCTGTAATTTATACATTACAGTACGACATGTAAACATTACTTATGGATAATAAATATGCCCAACTTCTCCAAAATATGTGTTTCTCAAGAAATTTCACATCAGTCTTGTGTTTCACAACATATTGCTGGGTGTGTGTGTTTGTGTTTGTTTGTTTGTTTTATGAATATGAATTACAAGTACAGTAACATGATAACCTGTTGGCATTACTACTATTGAAGTGAATACTGTATAGAATTACTATCTTTTTTGCAAATACTGTATGAAGCATGAGTGCATGCATATCAGTAAGCACTAAATGAAAGTTTTTGCTGCTTAAAACTTTATACAGTACAATATTTTTAAGAGAAACATTTCTTGTCACCAAAATCTAAACTACCATGTTCATTATAATGATATTACCTTTCAAATATTTATAATACATAGATACTTTATAATTACAAATACTGTATACTGTACAGTACTGTATCATATAGAGTACAGTATATATATATATGTAGATATTTCATGTGATAATCATCTAAATATACTTTGCTTTTCAGTTATAGAATATTGATAAAAAGTACAGTATTGTATTATGGGTTAAAATACATATGTTTTTAATGTTTATAAATGATATTTTCTTTACTAAACACAGACAACGTTTGGAGTTAATGAGAGAAATGTATCATAATGAAGCTGAACTATCACCCACCTCCCCGGATTATAACATTGAAAGCCTAACAGGTGGAGACCCATTCTACGATCGCTTCCCTTGGTTCAGGCTTGTTGGCAGGTATGAATATGTACATTTTGTTGTTTATGAATATAAAAATATTTAATATTTTACACAGTTTAGTTGAGTGATTTTTTTTTTCAATTTACCCTGTATATGTAGTTTTAGAATAAGCATTATAAATCACTCTACCTTTGAAAGTAATTATGACTTCTTAATTTACAGGGGGTTTCTGTACCTAAGTAATCTTCTGTACCCTGTACCATTGGTGCATCGTGTTGCAATTGTCAGCGAACGAGGTGATGTCAAGGGATATCTAAAAGTTGCCGTACAAGCTGTTGTCGGTAGGTAGTCCTGCCATATTTTGCAGAAATTTTATTTTTAGTGTCACTTTCTGCTATAGGCAGGATCATTGAAGTAAAAAATGGTATTTCTCCCTTAATTAGAATGGATTTTATTGGCTCTAATATCAACATTTCTTATGTTTTTTCATAAATTAATTGAGACCCCTCATCCTTATATCATGTCAAAATATTTTGTTTAAGGATCTTTTATTTCAAAAACTCTTTTCGATAAATTGAGGTTGACGAGTTTCATAACACTTTAAATAATGAGTTAATGCATAAAGGCAGAATATACCATACAGAAAACTCAGGTAAAATAACAATGACCCCAAATGGATAAATAATTATTTAAAGAATATTATTGGACAAAAAAAGGCTGTAGGTAGGAAACTAAATCGTGGTGAAGTTTACCTCCATGATTATTATAAAGTACAGTATTAGCCAGTAGGGTTAAGACAGAGATAAGAAAAGCAAAGAGGAATAGTGAACTCAGGGTAGCAAGGGAGGCAAAGCCCAACCCAAAGGGATTTTTTTCAAATGTATCAAACTAAAATTCGAGACAAGAATGGACTAGCACAGTCAGATACCAGCGAACTAAATGATGATGACGGAAAAATGAGCAATAATCTGAACAGATATTTGTCATTAGTTTTCACAACCAAAAATTTAACCATGATACCCGAGGCACCGACTATCTACAGAGATAGTGAAGAAAATAGATTAAGCGAGATAGTACTGACCTAGTATCAGTGTCAATAAACAAATAGATGAACTAAAACCTAATAATTCGCCAGGTTCCAACAAGATATTTGCCAGAGTATTAAAGGAATGTAAGGAAGAACTTAGTATGCCCTTAGCAAACTTGTTTAACATGTCATTAAAAACTGGTGTAGTACCAGAATTCTGGAGGATAGTGAATGTGATACTGATTTTCAAGAAGGGAGATAGATCACTATCCTGAAACTACCGTTCATTTAGGTTAACATCAATTGTAGGTAAATTATTGGAAGCAATAATTTCAAACTCAATTTGAATTCACGTTGATTCCTAAAATGGCTTCACAAGTGGGCATTTTAGACATTTAGATTTAGGCATGAGATAGGTAAATACTGGTTTAGAAATAGAATAGTTGATAAGTGGAACAAGTTACCAAACATTATCATTAACTCGACCATGCTGGGTAGCTTCAAATGTAGATTGAACGGATATACTTGTATGAGCAATAGGGGTTGGGTGTAAACAAGACTTCCCAGTATGGGCCAATAGGCTCGCTGCAGTTTCCTCCATTCTTATGCATTTATGTTCTTTTTATGTTATCAAATTCATCTCTATAACACAATCACAACAGATGTTGTGAATAAAACTTTATACACTTATTTGTAAGAATATAGAAGGTGGTGGAGTGAGTGATAGAGGGAGGGAGGGAGGGAGGGAGGTGACGCTTGTGGGGAGAATGTGAAAATTTCCCACCCCATTTACAGCAACAGTATGCAATTTCACGATAATTTTCATATTCTTTAGGTTCATTTGGTGCCATGTTAATGAAATATTATCTTAAAATGATAAATTTTCTGAAAAAAATATCCTACACAACCATAGAGGAGTTATTGAGTTTGTTTACATAAGAACAGCTTACCAGCCTGTCTGTGTTATTTATTTATTTATTGGTTTAATGGTGTCACCCACAGGATGATTATGAGAAGGGAAGGAACTGTTTATGTAATATAGAAATATTTTTTTTATCTCGAACCAATATTTTATTTTATTTTTTATAATTTTATTTTATTTTTTATTATAATTTTATTTATTTTTGGGGGGGAATGAACTATGAATAGTTGAAACTGCGAACTGCAAGAACTGAGAATGGCAAGGGTTTACAGTACTGTATCCGGGTACGGTAATGTACAGTATTATACTACAGAACGCAGATCAGATGCAAAAATAGCAGTGAGCGAGGGAACAACCTTGTACAATGGCAGCAGACTATGAACTAAGTGCATCATGATGCTAGGGTGTGAGGAGATAGGTTGGAAGATGCATCAGCCAATCACAGCGCACAGGTCTACAGCTTGCTGGCATGCTAGCCATGCGCTGAGCACATGTCCAAAAAATCGGAGTATGAGGTAGTCTCTTGGAAATTTGTTCAAATGTTGGCAATGGAGAGATTTTTCCCAAATTTCTCGAAATGCTAAAAAAATAAAAATAAAAAATATCTAGGTAAAAGGGAATTCTGGGATCAAAGATTCCACCTAATGCAGAGATTACTATGCTTGGAAAGTGTAATTTTTTTTTTCAATATGAATTGAATAATGGAATTTGCAAATTTGCAATTGCAGTACAGTGAACCCTCGAAGATCCGGACTAAAAGGGAGGACCACCTGTCCGGAAAAGCCGATTGTTCGAGTTCCGCCGAATGTACAAAATATATAAAAACGATAAATAATTATATACAAAACAAAAAATACAGTACATATTATCCTGACGACTGGGGTTAGTTATACAGACTTTTTCCTGTGAAAAATCCATAATTTTGAGCAACATATTACTGAACTCATTTGTACTCGATGTACTAAAGGTCTAAAACTTTTATCTTTTTTGCACAATATGTAATGCTTATACTCAAATTATTCGCAAGAATTCCAGCAATGTAAGTTATATTCTGCTAAGTTTAGTCTGTGAAATTTTATAATATAAAAGCTTTAAGTCTAAAACTACCTTTACCCCTGGGAAGGGGAAGGGGAAGGGGGAGGTGAGGTTGACAGCCAGGCAGGGGAGGGTGAGGTGAGGTGAGGTGAGGTATTGACCAGCTGGCGATGAAGGTTACCCAGTGCGTATTTATTTATCTGTCATATGGAGGGAGTTTAAGTTTTTTGCTTATAAAATGTTACTGAATTGACTAGGGAGAATATAACTTGCATTGCTGCAATTCTTGTAAGATGGTGATTAATTTGAATTTAAACATGCTATAGTTTGCACTTAACATAAAATATTTAGTAATTTTTTTGTACATTTGAGTACAGTACAGGTTTGCCCTTTGGACATTTATTTCTTTTTCTTTTTTCACAATATCTATTTAGGATAGTATGTGCATGTAAATGAGTAAAAATAATTGAAGAAGGTTATGTATATCTACCCAAGAATATGAGTTGAAAAACTTGTACCAAAATGTACCACACCAATGGACTAAATTTTTTATCTCTTGTGCAAAATATATGATGTCTATTTTCAAATTATTCGCTGTCTTCCAAGGATTCCAGCAATGGAAGTTATGTTCTACTAATTTTAGTGTGTGATATTTCATAAGATAAAAAGATTAAACCTAAAACTACCTTCAACCTGTTTTAGGAATGCTTCTTAGGGGGGCTTCTTAGCCCAGAACCCTCAATTTTTTGGTCCAAATCTTTCGAAATCTGGATTTACCGGGTCCAAATCTTCGAGGGTTTACTGTACTTTGTTTACATTCAGAGATTCAGTCCTCCTTTCTGACTTCTAGTTTGACTGATAATGCTCTTACTCCCTCAAGACACATCAGTAAACAATCTTGACTACTTTTTAAACTTGGCAAATAGTGTATGACTTTTTTTTATAGTGGGAAGTGTGATCCAGACATTACTGGTAGTACAATAGATCTCAGACAATATATAGAAGAACTAGGCTTATGGTTCCAAAAATTATATTCAAGAAGAAATAGCCTGTAAGTTACACTTTGCTCATTCTTCTACTGTAGGGACAATGTCAAAAGCAAATGTACATGCTTTTGATAAAATTTTATGTAATGATTTAACCATGATGATCTAGTTTACAATCCCAATGTATCGTTAGCAGCGGAAGAAGATTCAGTCGAAAGTACACAACCAGCAGGAGTGCGACAATCAGCAAGAATATCTTTCAATGAAGGTACTTTTAAAAGACCGCGGACCAAACGAGGGTCGCTCTCTGCGCAGGTGTTGGAGAAGAACACAGCTGCAGCTGCCGAGGAGGAGCGTATAGTTGAAGGTCAAGTAGGCTCAGGAGACATTATTAAACTAGAGGGTCAGTGTGCTATGCCTATTATCCTGAAAGTAAGATATTGCAACTGAGTGTTGAATTAGTTTGTGGTGCTTATAATTATTAGCATTCATTATCTTTTCACCTGATGTTCATTCAGTACTTACTTTGCTGACAAGTTGTCTTGAGAAGTCACTAATTTGATTCTGAAACATTATTGATGATAATGGTCTCAAACAATTTTGCAGATGAAGTGTGTGAAGTAGATAGTGGTAGAGGTGATAGTAGTGTTAGTTCCTGTGACAGTGGAAGAGATGATGACCTTCCGCCTCACCTTCGTATCGGGCAAGAGCTTACCTTCCGTGTAACTGTTCTTCAGGCCTTTGATGTGTCTACAGAATATGCTGACATATTCTGTCAGTTTAAGTGAGTTGCCTAGTTGTTGTATTTTCGCTGAAAGAAATTTTCAGTGAAATAATTTTTGTTTTTTGCATTGTTTGATATACCAGAATCTATAATTTGTATGCTATAAGTAGGGTTTTTAAAATAAAGTGCAAATAGAATATAGATAGAAGTGTAAGACTGTAAATTTTGTTTCAGCTTCCTCCACAGACATGATGAAGCCTTCTCCACTGAACCAATAAAAAATACTGGAAAGGGACCACCACTGGGGTTCTATCATGTACAGAATGTAAGAAATGGATATTGTTACTAGAATATTAGGTGCCCCACTAGAGCCCAGTTATGACTTCAAATACTATTACTGTACTGTACTTCATGAAATTTTTAGTTCTGCTCTGGCCCCAATCATTTCAGATTTTTGAAGTGGAACCCGTAAAAAAAAAAAAAAAAGTGCATTTATAAGCTTTACAGTTTCATTTCAATTTATACTTTTTAAAGTACAGGTAGTGAACATACTGAAAAAGTTATGTCCTAAATTTAGTTAATACCTGTTATTGTTTATATTTTCAGATTACAGTAACAGTGACTCGAGCATTCCTAGAATACATAAAAACACAACCTATCGTGTTTGAAGTATTTGGTCATTATCAGCAACACCCTCTACACCGCGATGCCCGTCAAGATGCCACGCATTTGTGAGTACTCATTGTTTACTTTTATGCATCAATGTTAAAAAATCTGGGAAATGCTTTGTAATATTAGGCACTTAAACTGTATTATATCAGTTCTGGGTTTGGAAATGTATAAGGCTATGCTTGCAGTTAACTGCACAGCATAGCTTAAGTGTGTCAGTTATCCTGCTATAAGGTTTTGTAAAAGGAAGAGTGAAATCAAACTATTCACACAGGGTGTGTTAAGCTTTAGATATAATTTGTTTTCAGTTAAACTTTAGATTTAATTTGTTTTCAGTTTATTTGACAAACTTTCCTCTATCTTGTGTCAAGAATTAACCCCACATCCATAACACATAGACCAGTAGGACACTTTGAGAGCAATTTAGTAACTAGTTTTATTCAGTAGACTAGGTGATGTCTGGATGATTGATGGTAAATGAAGCAGTACTTGTACACTTCACAGATAGAGCTGTTCTGTAGCTTTGTATTTTTCTTTTTGCCCTACATGCCATGCTTGAATAGTTTGATACAACTCTGCTTTTATTAAATATACTAATGGGATGACTCTGTTTATGTAATTCTGAGTTTTATGTTCAGTTGTATGATTAAGCATAATCATTCCCAAGCTTGAATTGGCAATGGAGATCCAGTGGACAGACAATTAGGCTTGCTCCTTACAGGCCTCTCCTTTTCTCTATACTGAATAATGTATAAGAGTATTGTATTTATAACCTAACACCTATCCAAGTGATACTCATGTTACTAACCAAGTCTTTGAGTTGAAAACCCAGGTTATAACCCTCAACATTGTTTGCTGGAACTAATTTATTAAGTTGTTTATACATTCCCATCCTATCCAGGTATCTAGATGGGGAATTGATCCTAAAATTTTATATACTGTACAGCTGACCCCTCTGTTACTGCTCATACCCATCATGCTTTATCCTCCATCCATCTCAAAGGAGGGAAATTTGCTACAAAGGTTTCTGTCTAGATGCTGGAAGTGTAATTAGAGCCAATGCCAGTCTAGTGAGCATATATTTACTACCAGCTGTTGGCCATCATCTCTTTGAAGTCAAGGACCAATCTGCTGTTATGCTTTAAGTTTTTAGCAGATCAATCTTGAATCAAAGGAAAGAGGATGAGTATATGAGCTGCCTGATTACAATCACAGTAAGAAATTATGAGAGGAGGATCAGTTTCCTATTTTTAGCTAGACCTCCAACAGGCAGCTTTCATTCCAGAAAGCTATCTAGAAAAGTGAGTACAAAGGTTCCAGACAAAGTAGAAATGTGCCCCATAGAAGATTTACTGACGTATAACACTCCTAGACTGAACAATTCTACAGTGTTATCCTGGAACATATGAGAAAAATTAATCCACTGGTAACCTAGAAGAAACTCTGAAAATCGATGGCAATGATCCATTCTTACATTGGTCAAATAAAGACTGTTAATCAGGACATGTGAGCCTGTTGTTGTTGACTAAAAGTTGGAGAGAGCCATAGACCATTCTATGACCAAAGATGAAAATGGATAAGAGATACAAGAAAATTTATATTTGAATCAAAAGTGTAAGATCCCCATAATACCCTTCATTGAGATGCACAACATTCAAATTAGTGGAGGGAATAATCAAACTGCTCCCATGAGTTCCAAATCTAAGAATAATTAACCATTTGTTATGTTGTATTCCTGTGAAATGGACATCTTAGGAGTTAACATGAATCAGTACAGTAAAAGTGGGTCCCATATCCTTGAATGCCTGTTAACAACAGTGTGGTTACAGTACAGTACACTTTAAACTATGCCTTTGATACATATTGAGGCATTATGAGCAGCACTGCGCTTGACTGCTTTCACTTCTGCACCTGGGTGAATTTGTGGTGCCCTGGGGATGAACCAACAACCCTTATGACGGGAAGCAAGCTCTGTATCCACTCAGCTACCATACCCTGTGATCAGTACAGAAACATTTATTATTACTTGATATGATATGGTCTAAGTTGTATTAATACAGTGAATGCAATGAACAGACACAGGATGTGTATTCTTTTTTTACATATGTCTGTATATCATCATGTTTTCTGCACTAAAAACTACTAAGTGATCCCTGAAGAGGGACACTGGTATTTTCCATTTTAATTAGAAACTAATCTAAAGTACATATACAGTTACAGTCAAAAGAAATCATCCCCTCCACCAGCTTAACCCCTGCACCTGGCTGGGTCCTTTCTGCATGGCAAGTCACGTGGGGTGGAGAGGAGGGAATGGTCGACTTGGGGAAGGACAGTTTGTTGGGGAGGAAGGGTGTGGGAGGTTGGTATGTGATGCAAATTCCTCATCAGAGATGGTAGGGGAAATTGAATAAAGCAGGAAAATTCATGAAAGAAGAAAGGGAATGATGAATATAGGGTTTTTTCTCATAATATTATTTTAAGTTTGCATACTTGGAAGAATAATAGTTGAGGACCCTTATTTTATGATTATTATAATGTACCATCCATTTCTTTATTTATAATTTGTTCAGGTTGTGGTTCAGGTTTTAAACAACAGTACTGTAATTAGATATTTACAATAGCGTTGATATAAGGAGAAATCTTGAATACGAGGGTGGAAATAATATTTATTTTTAATATTTACCAACACAGGTCATACAGAATCTCAATAGCCCATCCAGTGGCCTCCATTTTCTTTAACCTCCTGGAGTCTTTTTGGGACCGGGAACAAAAGGTTATAGATGGGATGCAGTTGTGGACGCCTGCCTCATGTAGACGCCACCAGACTGTCCTGGTAGACACACCCAGGTCGAGTTGTTCCCTCACAGCCACTGTGTTTGTGAATGAGTATCGTTCGGCCTCTGCTAGGATCTGAGCATTGTCCTCCTCGCCTATTAATTGTGGTCTCCTTGGCCTAAAATTATGTAATTTACAGTAAACCCTTGATAACTCGTAATTCAATATAAATCGGAATGACAGTAAAATTTTCAACTGTAAGTTATTTTTTACATAAGAAATATATTTTAAATACAGAATAATCTCGTTTTACGCGGTCAATTAAACCCATGGAGGTCCACGTATAACGCGAAACGCGTAAACGAAACAACAGAACATATGGGATTAATTCAAATAGAGACTGGGCCGACCGCCAGACTACCCTTTTTTCCGACACAATACGTACGTTGTAGTAAAAATAACATCTAAATTTTATGATGGTATGCACACACAATTTATATATAAGAGAAATATCAATAAAATTAGGTTTTTTAACACTTACGTTAGTAGAAGAGATGGCTGGGCACACAGGGATGGGGGGGTTGGTTCCGAGGCAGAGGGCAGATTATTGGCCCTCACCTGTATCACTTGTATCACCTGTATCACTCTCCACCACAGAGGCTAGCAGGGCCTCCTTGTCAAACCCCTCAAAGTCCGTATCCTCACTGTCACTGACTTGGGCTGGCTGTGGTGGGTGTCGGGTGAAGAACTCGGTAATGTTTTGTTGACTGGGCAAGCAAGGTTAAATAAACCAATCACAGCTCGCGGCGGAGGGGATGCGTGGGTGGTAAGGATGCGTGGCCCAATCACAGTCCAAAATGTCATTTGATGTCAGCGGTGACATAAGAGCGACCTAGCGCGCAGCTTGTCATCGCCGCTTCCCGCGTAAATTCAGGAATGCGTTCGTAAGGATTTTTTTTCGGCCCCAAAAAGTAATTCAAGCACTTTTATGAATGAAAATAAACATTTATAAACACATACAATACAGTACATTAAATAATTTATGATATACAAGTAATATAAAGAGAAATACAGTTGGAATAAATAAAAATATTGTACTATACTCACCACAAAAGATGTTTCCAGTCATCTTGAATAAGGGTAATGCACTGTACTGTACTTACTGTATGTTTGTAAAAGATGAATCCAACTGCTGGGGCGAGAAACGTGCGCACACTGGATGTAAACAATGGAGTGACTCCGCGTGGCGACACCACGCTTGACGGTAGCAAACCCCAAGAAATCCACACCAAACAAATTATAATTTTTAACAAAAAATTATAATTTTATACGTATAGTGATTTTTTTTAATTGTTAAAATTTACCCCAATTTCCGTAATGGCGGATTTACGGGCCGTATCGCGAAATTATTGGTCTTAATTTACAAATTCCACAAGAGCGAAATTCCGCAACCCGGAGTGCCTGTATCTCTCAAACATATTTGTCAGAATTATTAAACTCCCACATCCAGGCTGGTTTGTTGCAGGTGCATGACCTCAGGGTCAAATTGGCTTCAATGGCCTTGCTAAGAGGCAAGGCCTTGCAGTCAGGCCCATAGTGAGGGGCCTGGGCACTGACTAAGACCTGTGTTAGTCATGTCCTGATGAAATAACAAGGCTTGAGGACTGTGCAGTACCAATTTTTCTACTATTATTTTATTGGGATAACCTCTCTTGCCCCTCCTGGAGTTGGGTGCTTGTCACCTTAGCATTTGGAGTACTGTATGTGTTTACTTCTTTTCTCCCTATATGTAGCTGGCTCCAGGTACATGAATCACCTGTGCCAGACATTAGTTTGTAAATGAAGGATTGATCCTGAAATCCATTTTGTAACCAACCATATCAGTTGGCTCAGTTACTATCTGTCCTCCCACATGACAGTTTGTAACAAGTCAAACTAGGGTTGCAAAACACATGTGCCTGTATGATAAGAAGACTTCTTGCATTCAGCCTTTGAGTAGTGACCTTTATATCCAAATGTCTCTTTTTATATACGGGTACCTAATTGTGATGTAAAAAAAAAAAAAATCAATGAATTGGTTCCAGTTATTGTACCAACATGAATAGTACAGGTGTTTAACTCAAAGACTCTGTTGGTAATGTGAGTTATAGATGGGATCTCAGGATTAATTCCTCATTTTTTATAAAGAAGAAATCAATCCTGATAATGAGTAAGGTGTTTTAAGATTTTTATATCATTTGCTGCTGAAAAATTTATACGCTGTATTCTTGTAAGTTTTTCTTTAATCATAATGTTCATTTTTTTATCCCATGTTGTATTGTAAATTTAAGGTGTATTCAAGTACAGCCCCAATGAGAATAAAAGTTTATATTGTGGTGTGACAAGTTAATGCATCAGTGCCACTGCACCAAGCATGCCTTTTTTCTTTTCTTGTTTTGTGGTGTGTAATAGCTTAGCTTCTATGATAAATTTACAGCAAGTCATAAAGATACTGAACATGAGCTTCATTCTAATCTAGATGTGTACAGGCATTTCCTATTTTATGGGAGGGTTCTGTTCCTGAAAACAAAAAGTATAAATTGACTTTTTATAATTTGGATCACATTTTCCCATAGACTCTCATTATAAAAGCTGAGATATGTTCCTACAAAAAAAAAATCCTCTAAATGTCTTAAATTGTTAGAAAACATGTTTTTAATGATAATCTGCTGTGCATAAAATAATTATTGCCCAATAATAAAATTAAGTGAAGTACATGCAGTGGAGGACACATTAGTTTCTGAGAAACTGCTCTTCTGGTTTTGATGCAGTGTGAGACTGTGAAGCCCAGCCAAGACATACGATTTTAATTTCGTATTGACGCACCTACAGTAAGCCTGCTGCACTGTACATAAATGCTTTTTTAGATGTTTTACTTTCACTGGATATATTTTTTGGCGAGATTTTATCTGAAGAAAAAATACTAAACTTCTCATTTCATATTTTTTTATTTTCATTGACAAGAGATCAAACTCTGAGATACTAAACACATCTCTGTTCCCACAGCTGAAATGTCTTAAGTCAGTATCTTGCCACTGCTTCATACATCGATTTTACATGTATCTGTTCTACAGTAGTTTTAATCTTACTTAATACTCTTAATACAGTACAAAATTGTGTGCTGTTTTTAGATTAATTGTCAATATAAACTTACCAGGTTATTGGAAATCTTGAAAAGTCTGTGTCAGTACTTCAGCATCTTCCAGTGCTGTGAAAAAATTATGAAAATAACAAAAAGAATTTTTTTAACTTCAGATTTGTTTTGTATGTAATTGGAAACTCACCCCCCTCCCCCCCACATAACTAAGGGTTTTCATAAACTGGGGACTGCCTGTACCAACAATATATGAAACTGCAAGTAAAGCGGTCTTACAAGCTGCCTTATCATAAATGAATTAACATAAAATACTCGTATGTTCAGTTATCTAACAATACATCCTTAGTACAGTACAGTAATTTTTAATTCCAATTCTTCTTCACTGAGAGACCACTTTGAGTGTCTAATTCTGATGGAGCATATGATAAGTCCTTTGTTACTTCTCTTGACGCTCTGAAATAATGTACAAACACACACACACACACACACACGCATACACAGTATACATGCATACATACATACATACATACATACATATGTTTATGTCATTTAATGATGAATATTCAATCCTCTAGAATGGTCCAGAGTTAATTTAGAATACCCGGTATGCATTATTGCAAATTCTGCTGATTAATAACATACCATCAGTACTAAATCCCATATGAATTTACTGCAAACGTACGGTAAGCCCGTGGTATATCATGGCACTGTCTTCATATCTGTTCCATTATAGCTGACTTGGTATGCAGAGGCAATTGGCATAAAGAAATTTGCCCATAGTTTCACCCTGCCCGGAGATCGAACCTGGGTCCACTCACTTGCAAGACAAGCATGTTGACCACACACACATACACACACACACACATATATATATATATATATATATATATATATATATATATATATATATATATATATATATATATATATATATATATATATATATATATATATATATATATATATATATATGCTGTACCTGTATTGCCTTACTCTTTTATTCTGCAAAGGTTGGGGGATTGCTTCAGGAGGTACTGCTAGTGCTCCCCAACTTCTCCATCAGTGGTGGAGAATCTTTGGAAGCTTTCTTTATATTTATTTTACTCCTTAAATGGTGCTAAATATATGTATCTAGTTAAGGTAGAATCATAGTGTAATTTGGATGATACTCTTTTTAATGTTGTTTTTGCAAATTAGCATGCAAACCTGGTGGAGACATTGTTCACTGCTGTCAGTAAATTAAACTTAGTAGAATATGAGATGTGTTAATTTTTTATCTCATTATTCCATTAATTCTGTTTTGAGGATGTGTTATTATTATTTTTATTTTTATTTTTATTTTATTTATTTATTTATTTATTTATTTATTTTTATTATTATTACTATTATTATTACAGTATTTAGATCTTACTTCAATAATGGGAATATTTTTTCCCTAGATGTAATTTTACATTTTGAGTTGTCATACTTCCTTAATACTTCCTGTACAGTATTATGAATGCTTTATTTTAGCCAGATAATGCTTTATGGCACTTGTGAACCCTCCCTACCCTACAACACCAGCAAGTGTCTATTGTTTAACTATTCATTGATAAACTATTATCATTGATGTGATTTTCGGTTATTTAACTTTTTATTTGTTTTGCTTCTTTGTTTGTCATCCTGCATGTCAATCTAATTTGGATTGCTATGGTGTTTTTTCTTCAACTTGCCTGACTGCTGTGTTGGTGGCACTGGTGATATTGCTGTTTTATGGCTGGGTCTTTGCTGTTGTGGTGGTTCTTCAGCTTACCTCCTGGCATGGTACTTCCCGGCAGCTCTCGGGCACCACCCAAGAGGATGCAGCCTCCCGCCATCCCCATCAGTCAGCCAATAAGGTCACCGAAGTTTGGTGTTGTACAGAGCCCCTCTACCTCACATGTACATGCTCGACATGATCTCCTCGTCTGGTTCGAAATCTGTGAACTAGGTAAGATTTAACTTTTTTTCTTTTTTTTTTTTGCATTTTGTCATTTCGTTACCCTTTCTTTGAATTGATTCTTTTCACACAACAACTGAAAAATCATATTTTGGCTCAGAGAAAATAAAATACCTGTAGTGTAACTCTAGTATTATATGATAGGAATTCCCTTCAGTGTCAGAGTGAATTATATAAGATATCTCAGTCCAGGTGGGTAGCCCAATCAATCCTCTCCATGCATCCTTATGCTTGCACAGTTCCAAACAATTCTCTGTGCCAGCACATACAGGTACTGTAAGCTGCTGACTCTGATTTTCCACTTACTTTTTAATCCTTACATTGTATATCTTCTCTTGCTGATTTACACTTGCATTCATTCTTTCCTGATCTTTTGTTCTCATTTTGCCAAACCAACTCCATACTTCCTTTTTCTTTTCTTCAATCACTTATTTGTCTCATGCATAATTATTCTAATCTTAAATTCCTTCTCACTGTCCATTCTTCTTACTCCTTCTCTACAGCTTGCATTCAGTAATTCTGCTGTGATATGCTAATGTTTTAGTCAAACATTAAGATTGGTTAAATTATCACATCCAGGGAATACTGCCACATGTTCGAGCTTTTACCTTTATCTCTCATGACTTTCCTATGATTGCCAGTGACTAATAATACTTTTGATATTTGTACTCCTGCAGCCTCTCTGTTTAATCACTCACTTATTATATTGTTAATCCATATGCATTTTCTACATTTTATACACTAATTTCAGCTACAGTACAGCTGATGTCATTACTGCTAACCATTTATGTAAAGTGTTGCTTACAGTATATACCATACTATCCCAATGTCCTTATTAAGTCACCTGAAAATGAGATGACACGATATTTTTCTGATTTTTTTATTATTATTGTTGTTATCATTATTAATATTATTATCCTCAAAAGTTGTCCATAGCATATCTTTGAAACAACAAAAACAATCTTAGTAACAGTATGAAAAATGGTGAATATAATAAGATGACAGGCTGAACAACAAATTCAAGTGTTTATGATTCAAAGGTCAAGATATTTTTTAAAACATAACTTATGTATCAACAGAGTTCATGAAACCAAACTCCATGTACAGAAAGGTCAAAATCAAAACTTTGTCCAGAGTGTACATTTATCCTCGAGAGAAAAGAGATCTATTAGTACAGTCAGTTCTGCTATAACGCGATAGTTGTGTTCTTGTAAAATATCGTGTTATAGAAAATCGCGTAATAGAAATAACAGGGCTTATGGAGAAAATAGGGTTAGGTGCAGATTACTACTCGAAATCGAAAAAAAATTAGGAGTTAGCCTAACACAAAGGATAGCACAGTCTAAATAAATGTTACATTCATATCTAATAATGAAATCATACAGTAAATGTAACACTTTACCTTCAAAAAATATGAATATAACTTGATGGGGGAGAAGGGTGATTTTGAGGTTGATAACATCGAGCTTCTCTTCAAGTGTTATATCCTTTCTTTTGCGATCATCACCGGGAATTCGATCACCAGAACGCTTCTTGGAGATATTCTTCTTTACCATATTCACAGTTAATACCACAAAATTGGAGAAATAGTAAGCAAAAATCGCGTTACAGCAAACAAGCGTTCGCGTTATACAAATATCGTTCCTCTATTCATAAATCGCTTTAGAGCAAATTCGCGTTATCAAAACACGCGTTATAGCAGAACTCACTGTAGCTGTGTTTGACCAAACAGCACACACTGAACCACAAGCTATTACTCCACTAACTTCTTCAGGGCAAAACACCATCTCTGCTTCAGTTCCTAGCCAGGTATCCATTAAGAACAGATGTCTACAGACCAGTGTTCCACTTGGGTGCTTATTTATTACAAAAAGTTGTGGTCCCCCCCCCCAACCCCCCCCCGCACATCAAGAATTACTAAAAATTTTGGTGTTATCATTTCCATTGGATTATTATTGTTACATCTACTTACATCTACCTATCCCTCAGAGTCTGGGGTACTTTCAAATTGTCTTATTGCCCCAATTTTTTTTATCTCTTTTTCTCTCTCTTGAGAGAGTAGCCTCACCCCATTAATTAATTAATTATTGACATGAACTGGCTAATGGTTTTAGGTTTGAGAGTCTTGTTGGACAACCAGGCTTGGTTGGAAGCTTATTTTCAAATTTCAACTCCTGTTCCTTGATGATGGGAGTTTTGGTATGTTTATGCAGTTCAGTATATGATTTCAGTTTTAACCCCTAGGCCCCGGGTGACGTTGCAAAACGTTCGCCTATTCCCGCCACTTGTTTTTTTTTTTTTTTCTTTCTTTCTTGATTTATCTCCACGGAGGGGGGGGGGTGCTGCCAGCAGCACCCTAACCCAGGGCTTAAGGGTTAAGTCATATGTGAACTCTTAAGGAGGTCAATGGTTAACAAGGGATTAGAATTATACTGTTACTCTCGCTACAAACCTAAGGAACTGCTCCATGAATTACGGTATATTTTTATCCTACAGAATTTTAATATGATTGATAGTTCCAGTCCTGTTAGCCCTTGGTGGACTTAGGCTTTGCCTACAATTTAGAAAAAGCATTCATTGGGTAAAATGAGTGGGTGACTTGTGACCATTAATTTCAATTTAATGTTTATATTATGCATATAGTATTGTTGAACTTATTATTGATATAATATATAATTAAATTTTGCAAATTTTTCTACTCAGAATACGATTAATTACCCTTGCAGATAATCCATGTAATACATAGTGAAAATTTGGCCTTTCATGTTTGTTATGCTGAAGCTTTAGATTCAATGATTTGAATAAGTATTCAGGTTGTCAAGCATCTGAGTAAAAATCTATTTAAGATTGATACTTTCTGGGACTGATAAACTATAACTTTCTTATTGGTAGACTTAATGCTCGGCCAGATAAAATTATCTGTAGGACTAGATGTGGTCTGCAGACCAGATATTTCTTGCCTCTGGCTTAGTTTATAAGAATTAGTTCTAGAATTAAGGTAATTGAACATTTTATGAGATTCAGCATCTGAAGAAAAAAGTTCAGATTATACAACAGTGAAACATAATTTGTGATTTTACCATAAGCCTTTTTATGTCTCTGGGACATAGGGCTGTCATGCTCCAGATTGCAAAGGAGTCTACTCCAAATAAAAATTGGTGAATGACTTTGAGGTAACACATGAGTTCAGTGGGCTTGTGTTTGTTGATAAAAACTGTTTAAAATTTTTTACCCTTTACAGTAGTTCCCAACCTTTTTTGGCTGCGACCCTAAATTTTCCAACAATACGGTGTCGTGACCCTCAGGCATATAATATATTATATAGCTTGAATGAATTTGTTTGACTATGCTAAGTACTATATTTTTTAAATTGTCTGAAGGCCCCTTGCGACCTTACTGAGGATACACCTGAGGTTGGGAACTGCTGCTTTATTGGAACAGGAATAATTAGGGCCCAAGGTTCTTTTAGACTGAAAGTAACTCAAAGGGCTTTTATAGGATTATCAGGGGTCATGGTAGATGTGATCCATGGGATCTTTTTGTGTCCTATACCTAAGCACGTTTTTTTTTATTTTGAGTTCATGCTAAGAAGCAAGGAGTTAGGATTTTCAGAAAGTACAGTACTGTACTAAGTTTCCCACACAGTGGAGATTACTTGTTGAATAATATAATGAATCAAGACTTTCTCACGGATGTTTTTTTAGTGGTTTGTTGTATAAGGGGTAGTTTTGGAAAAATTTTCAGATTTTTTTCTCGAGTTTGATGATAGCAGGGAAGAATGTGCCTTGCTGAACAGATTACTTGTGTGTGTGTGACATGTTGTTAAAAGAAGCAGGGAAAGGAAGAAGGTATTTTCTCTGAGGAGGACAGTACAGAAATTGGAGAAATAGAATGTAAAGGAAACATTTTATGCCAAGTTGAGACGAGTGGAATTGGTTGACGACATTGTGAGGGGTAGTGTAGTGAGTTGTTGGGCCACATTAAAGGAGGGTCTGTTATGTGCTGCTAACAAAATGTGTGACTGGATGAAGGGCATAGCTAGTCATGCATTAACATGGTAGTGGAATGATGAAGTGGCAGAGTGATAAAGAAAAAGATTGTAAAAGTCTTGCAAGATGGGTGGTGATAGCCAAGTTCAAGGCCAGAAGAGAGGTTTACAAGGCTAAGAAATATGAGCAGAATGCCATTACGTATAAAATGAATAGTGCAGATGCAAGGGGTGAGGTATACAGAATAGCACGGTGTGGGTAGAACCAAGGATGTTATTGGTAAGCAATGACTATAGTAAAGTGTTTGTTGATGATAATGAAGAAATTTAGGTTGCTTGGAAAAAAAATATTACAATGGTCTGATAAATAAGGAATTTGACTGGGACAGGAGCAGCAGGGCTGGTACAGGGACCATCCCCATGGATTGAAAGAGAATTGGTGAAGAAAGCAATTAAAAAATGATGAATGGAAAGGCTGCTGATAGCTCTGGAGTAGTTGCAGAAATACTGAAAGCATCAGGTGAAGCTGTCATTGGTGACAGAGTTTATTTATGGTGGCAAATACTGCTTCAGCTGACCAGCTGAAGAGTACGTCTGTGAAAACTTAAAAGGGAAAAATGTGATGCACTTGAACACAGGAGCTACAAGGGCCTGAAGCTGCTATTTCAGGTTTTGAGAGTTGTGGAAAGAGTGATTGAGAAATTGAAAGAGTGGGGGTGAACATTAACCTCTGAAGCTGTAGCTAATGAATTGAATTCACATAATCCCAGATGTGGCAAAATAAAATAAAAAAGTATGACATTAAGACAGGAAAAAGACATGCAGTATAATAATTTGCAAAGTTACTGGTATGAAAAAAAAAATCATTGCATTTTTACCCACTATGACATTGAGCATTAAAAGTTAACTTGATGTGAATTTCTTTGCATTGTTTTTGCTTGTGTGAGCCAGCAATGGGATTGCAATGTACGATATTTTCCACCTCTCCTCTTTATATCTTATTGTTGGATTAATTTTTTATTTATTTTTTTTTGTTTTATACGTAATTACTTTTGGGACTGTCTTCCATATCATATCATTCTGTATGCCCTGGGAATTGTATACTGTATTGATAGCAGATATTTTAGTGAGATGGGTGTGTAATGTGTTATTAAGAGATAGGATAGGAAACCTTTTCAGAGCTAAGAGAGAGTAGCTGAGTATTGGGACTATTTATGAGTTATACATAGAGGTAGGCTGAGTTGGTTTGGGCATGTGAAGGTGACCAACTGGATCAAGAGATGTATGAGTTTGAACGTGGAGAAGTAGACAGCTAGGGTAGGCCAAGAATGGCATAGGGAGATATTGTGAAAAATGGTCTCAGAAATAAACACCTGACATGAAAGGCTGCAATACACAATGTAGTATGGAGAGATGTTCTCAGGTAATCACAGCTATCCCACACAAGCATGGAAAATGTTTGTAAAATGATGACGGTAGTTCCCAGAGATGGGCAAGGTTAATATATTCTGACTTCATAAAATCTTTCTTAAGTTTAAAGTTTGGATTGTCTAGGGTTATTACTGGAAAACATAGCTACACTTCTGGGAGGTGTAAGCTTAATTTTCTTATTGGCTTGCATAATATGTTTATGGTTCATCCATTGGAGGTGTTTTCAGCCAACTTGTCTTCAGAAGGACCTTTATGGGCAGATTTTAGGGGGTAATTGCTGTAGCCTTATGACCAGAGGCTCAAAAATATCACCGGGGACTGTATGGTAAGGGACAGTTGGGGAGCATATTGTGTGCTCCCTACCTTATTAATGGCAAATTAAAAAATTAAAATACCGGGGTAAAAATAAAAAAATCTGGGAGATTATTCAGCATCTACCCTTTTTTAGCAGAGCACAGGTCACTGACCCACATCAGGGCCTGGGGAGGGGGGGGGGGCGAAAATGTAATAATAATAATAATAATTCAGAATAAATAAAATATCTAATAAAAAAAACAGTTTTTATAAAAAACAGTTTTTGTGATATAGTCCAGAATGCGACGCTTAGTAATGATATGATAATAATAATAATAATAATAATAATAATAATAATAATAATAATAATAATAATAATAATAATAATAATAATAATAATAATAATAATAATAATAATAATAATAATAAAGACATACAAAAATGAAAAAAAAATATCAAGAGTGAAAAACAATACCTGTATACTGTATGTATGTTGTGTTGTCAATAGTAAGAGAAACAATTGAGACCCTGCAATTGTGTGTAAATGAGGCAGAAAGTTGTCAGTAACCTGCGACTTGGTCACAATTTTTGTGATGCCATATGGCAGCAGCAGGGTCTACCATTAGACAACACATTATGCTTCCAATATCTACCCAGGCGGTAGTACCTCCCTGTTTGGTAGCTGCCTACTACCTAGATGTGCTTGAAAGAAAATCATTGATGGCCTGAACAAGATGGCTGAAAGAAATATAGCTTTTAGGATGAAGTATGTTGATTGGTCAGACAAGAACACTGCTACATCTGATCTCTTTACTTTGAGACAATGGGTATGATGGAGAGAGAAGGACATTGAACACTTCAACTGGCAGTGTGTTACCTGCCCTTGGGATAATACCTCATATACTGTACCTTATTATCTCTGTAAGCACTCAATATATGACCAGTAAATATTTCACCCGGTTGTATTTCTTATGAGATAATCTGTAGTTCAAAATTCATACTGTTTATTTTTATTTTTTCAAAGAATAAAAATGCACTTTCATTTCTTAAAATCAGGAGAAAGTTTCTATATTTGCCAATAGATACAATTTCTAATGTGTCTCATATTTGAACAATTTCAAGTTTAAGCCTTTCTATTAGCACTGCCCTCTATTCAATAACATTCTATCTATAAAGTTACTATAATTATATTACCTTCTCCTTTATACAGAGATACAGTTTCACATCCATTCAGTTCATTGGTACACTTCCTTTTATCCTTGTTATTTTGTGTATTGAATGAAATTACATTTGTATCACCTCACCCCTCCTCTGTGTTGTTTTCATTACTGTATAGTATGTCACCAGTAATCCCCACCAGATCTCAAATTCTTTATGGTTTCTTGGTTTGTCTTGTAACTTTCATTGAATTTGCAATCTAATGCTCTTTTAAACTGTGTTCTCATCATCAGTTGTTTTGACCAACAGCACCGAGTGGAGAATATGTACCAGCAGTGGTTGAACATGGAGATGATCTGCCATGCCGAGGTCTCTTCCTTTTACATCAGGGTATCCAAAGACGTATTCGCATCACAATTGTACATGAACCTTCCCATGATCTGATTTGGCGTGATGTACGAGAACTTGTTGTTGGTAAGTAATCTAGAGAACAAGTCCCTGAATGTTGGTGGAAAGGAGGTAAAGAGCTATCAATAAGCTACTCATAAATTTCTTTTAGTGTGCAATATTTGAATTATTAGGAGAAATGTTTACCTTTTCGTTGATTTCTATGTAAATGTGAGTGCAAAAGTTTAGACTTTAGAGGAGCTAAAAAGAGGAACTAAATTTTAGTGAAAATGACAGGAAAGTTCTTTTAAGTTAAAAAGAGGAAATTGTATGTTAGTTGTTGTTGATCTGAAAGAGAATAGGAAGGATTAGACTAAAGCATGAAGCCATCAAGTCCAGTTGAATTAAATATGTAAATTTGGAACACATTTAATTAGAAAAACACTTTTACTCGCATCAGTGAAATGGGTGTGCTTGCATGTTCATACAGGTATGTTGAGTCTGAGGGGTGATGCTTGATATCAAAATCAGTAGGCTTGATTCCAAGGCTTCATCTGAGAGGCATGATCAGTGTTTATTTCTCAAATATAATTCAATGAAGTCAGAAATTAACTTTCACATTTTTCTTATTTTATGGTTTTATATTATATTTCTTTTACTGTATTTCTAACCCACATTAGAGTATTGTAATGATTTTTCTACAACTTTTATAATTTCATTACAAGTACCAATATACAAGGCTGGCGAGTCGGCTGCATAGTTATTAGCCAAGACCTTGGCTATAACCGTCTTCACTCATGTTCACATCTCACACATGCGCTTCATTTTTCTTGTTTTATATTATATTTTCTTTATTTTTAACTCATATTAGAGTATTGAAATATTTTTCAACATCTTTTATAATTTCAAAATAAGTAACAATATACATGGTGGCTGGAGTGGCGAGTTGCCAATGTAGTCATAGCCCACGGCCTACACACACACACACATTCAGTTCCCACAAATACGCACACATGCTCTTCTTTTTTCTTATTATATAATTTTATGTTATATTTTCTTTATTTTGAAGCAATATTGTTTATATAGTGTGGAATAAATGTTAAAGAAGTCCATTTTTCTTAATGCTAGGCATTTATATACTTAGGTATAAAGCTAGACTTCGCATTCTGGACTATATCACAAAAACTTTTTTTTAGAAAAATATAAACCTAACCTAAATATTTAAACCTGTAGATCATAAAAGTTTTCTATGATTACCTATGATAAGGCTTCATAATGTAACTAATCTTATAACCTTATTCTCAGGTCGAATACGCACAACTCCAGAAAGTGAAGATGACAATAACGATGCATCAGTCTTGTCTTTGGGTCTGTTTCCGGGAGAGTGCCTAGAGTACCCTGGAGAAGACCGCACACTCTTCCGTTTTGAGGCAGCTTGGGACTCTTCTCTCCACAACTCCATTATGTTGAACCGTGTCACCCCACCAGGAGAGCATGTATATATGACCATATCTGCTTATCTCGAGGTGTGTAATTTTCGTATGTACAGTTTTCAGATTAGAATGGGATCAAGATTACTTATCTCTTTGTTAAGATTTTGAGGATTTTTCTGTTATCATATTCAGTTTTAACCTGATGTTAGTTTGTTTTTTATTTATATCCTTCTGTCTCTCTGTGTGTATGATTCCTAAATTTACTATCTTTATTGCATTTACAGTTGCCAGCAAAAGTCCTCCCACAACTTGCTACACGTGGCTGTGGGAGAACTTTTGCTGGCAACTGTACCTGCTAAGGCATCTTTCATTCTTTTCATACCTTATTTCTTTGTGCCATCAAATAGTAGATTAGAGTTAGTAACCTGACAAGATAGACTGCAAGAGACTGTTGCAGCATGGAGTGCTGCCATCAGGTAACCACGGCTTACTTATGCAAGCATGAAAAATGGCCATCTAACCATGATGATGATGAAATATTGGAATTGTATCAGCAGTCCATACTTCTCTAAGAGTTGGATAATATAGTATTCTAAATCTTGTCAAATAAATATCACTTGAATTAGCAGATGGCCACCCCACTTGAGGTTACAGCCTCAAGTTAAAACTGACACTGTTAATTACTGTCAAAGCTAATGTCTTTGGAGTAATATTTATGCTCTTTTGAAATAACCAGCCAGAGGATGTTGTGTCAGCTCAGGGGTTTGAGCTTAAACCAAACTTGTAAACTGTGGAAAATTTTCAGGTATACTCAAACCCCTCTTATTCAACTTCTTTAGCACTCTACCCTTGTTGAATTACCCAAAGGGTCCAAATTCTCTAGTGTTCAAGTTCAGTCAGGGAATTTTAACATTTTGTTGAGCTGATGGTTTTTTTCACCAACTCGATGTTAAATTTCGACTGTACAAAAAGGCAAACTCAATTGACTTAAAGCCTGTGTAGAATTTTCAGCTCGTCTGAAATGGACAGGCTCTTATACAGTATTTCCTAATTGGCTTCAACTGTACTGCCATATTACATGCATATTACATAAAACAACAACTATTTAAATGTAAAAAAGTTGCATTGGGTTCCACAGCCTGTGCTCAACTACCCCAGATCCATATTTATCAGTATTTCATGACAGTCAGATAAAACAACAGTTCAAGTACCAGTGGCAGATCCAGGAATATTAAAAGGAGGGGGTCCAAGAAGTTGTAGGTGAAGGAACATGACGAGCACAATGAGCCCACCCAGATGTTTTTTTTGGGGGGCACTGTAAGCTCCTTTCTCCCTCCCCTCCCCCTTTTTTAATCTTTTTTTTTGTTTAATCTGACCAATATCATGGGCATTTTTAGGCCATTTGCACTTTATATTAGGAGGTATTCTGAAGTCAATATAAATTACTTTTTGCTATACAAAAATGCCTGAGTACACTACCACATTAAAGAAAAAGTATTGCAATTTTTTCTTCTTTTTTTTTTCTTTTTTTTTTATAACTGACATGCACACAGAATGTGTACAAAAAAATTAAAAATAATTATTATACAGTCATAAACTTAAGCGAATAATAATTTCTTGGTGCGTGCGAGTTATCACACAGATTGGGGGAAGGCAGAGCAATTTGGGGGATTTCAGCTGTTCACTGTCTCCTGTGGCCCGTGTGTAGTGAAACAATTGCCAAAGGGCAATGCAATATGTTTTATATTATTTTATATACAAAGAATAGCTCCTTCCACACTCAAACCATCCTCTGGATGACGTGACACAGTTCAGCTGCTGAGCCAGGCAGTTACCCAGCTGACTCATATCGGGGGAGGGAAGGAGGGAGCACAGCTGGAATGGTGAATGTGACTAGGCAGTTATAGCCCACTGTCTCTACACACAAACATTCACTTCCCACACATACACAGCCATGCTCTTCATTTTTCTTATTTTTTAGTTTTATATTATATTTCTTTATTTCTAAGCCATATAAAAGTACAGTATTATATTTAATTTTTTTCTCAAACGAGCATGGACAAGTGATAAACACGCTGAACTAGCGAAAGATGCTGGGTGGGTTGGCATGTGAAGAGTGAGACCCAAGCGCTAGGGCAGTTCAGGGGTTAGACGCATATAAGTGGAGTTACTTACTATGGATACATGTACTCTGAGACTCTACTCTACTGTAATATTTTACACTAAGGAAATAGGAGTACAGGAAGAATTAGAAATAAGAGTAAATTAATATATAATGTAGAAGTGTACTGTACAGTAATACCTCGATTTATGCGGTCAATTGAACCCGTGGAGGCCCGTGTAAAACGGGAAACGCGTAAATGGAACAACAGAACATATGGGATTAATTGAAAGAGAGACTGGGCCAACCCCCAAACTTCACTTTTTCAGACACAATACCTACGTTGTAGTAAAAATAACTTCTTAATTTTATGATGGTATGCACACACAATTAATAATTATGAGAAATATCAATAATATTAGGTTTTTTAACACTTACATTAGTAGAAAAGATGGCTGGGCACACGGGGATGGAGGGTTGGTTCCGAGGCAGAGGGCAGATTATTGGCCCTCACCTGTATCACTTGTATCAATTGTATCACTATCCACCACAGAGGCTTGCAGGGCCTCTTTGTCAAACCCCTCAAAGTCCATATAAGTCCATATGCTCACTATCATTGTCACTATCGCTGACTTGGGCCGGCTGTGGTGGGTGGCGGGTAAAGAACTCGGTAATGTTTTGATGACTGGGCGACCTTGTGCGCCGCTTCCCGTGTATATGAGTAGATGCACCGTGTAAAGTGGGAATTCCGGTTCTGGCGGAGTACCACGTAAATGTAGAAACTCGTAAACGAGAACCGCGTAAAGCGGGGTATTACTGTCCGTATAAGAAAACAGTATGAAGTTAATTGGAAGGGTTCTTTTGTATGATATGTGCCTTTGTCCCTCTTCTCCCACAATATGTACTTTCCTTATATTTGTTCATGGTTATTTTAGTACGAAATTGGTCTTAAATCAAACTGAAATGATATTATGGGTATGTGTGTTTGGGGAGGGAGGGAGGGGTGACTGACATCAGAGTTGCTCATCCTTGGTTTAGTGCATTGTATGTTGGATGTAAGTATACAATTGTATCTGGGTTTGGGGTAGTGTGGTGAACCCCTTCCCTCCTTCCCTTGTCCCTTCCTTTTTCTTCACACTGTTACCAAATGTTTACTCAGTCTCTCCCATAACATCCACTCCTATTTTATTCACTCATTTGAATGTTTTAGAAGGAAATTTTTGCATAGAATCAAGGTGAATAACATCTTAGTTGATAAGGATATACTGTTTGTTTGTTTGGGGAGAAAAGGGGAGATGGAAAGGAGGTACTGTATCATCATCACCTGTAATTGTCTAGACAGGCAATCTTGATGGAGTGTGATGTGTTGGGTGCTTATGCATACAGTATATTGAGTTTCTATATAAGTGTGTGATATGTGTGGTGTGAGAGGTGAGTGTGAGGTGATATATCGTATGTTATGGTGTGCCTCCTCCCAATCTTCATTAGGATTATTTTCTTCCCCTGCCACATCCACTGACTTTTTTCCACCAATTGGTTAATATTTTAGCTGGAAATACAGTAAAGCAATTTCAAGTCATTACAATTTATTAGGATTGTATTCATATTTGGTTTTGTTTAATGTGCAAGTGATTAGAGTACCCTGTATTGGGGTTTTAAAGATAAATATTTTCCTCAAACTAATCAACCAGTAACATAGCTTATTTTTTTCAAGTACAGTACAGCAGTTGTATTGCACATCCCAACATGGATTTATTTGTACATAGGTTGTCTAGGAATATAACTGTTCATAAAATTGTGAGTGTACTATACAGATGCAGTTTAATGTAGTGGTGTAAGTACTGTGCTGTGTTCTTGACTTGCTTACTTAAACAGTTCTTTGATATGCTCACATTTACTAGGGAGCTGAATCAGCCTTATAATTCCTTCCTTTTATGTTCATTTATTATGTACATGCTAACCCACTCAAGCATTGAAAGTGGCCATTAAATGTTGATGATGGTGATGATGCTGAGCTGAGACTGAAGCTCTCCCAAAACCTCCAGCTCATACACATACATAACCATTCCCTCTGTTTCTCTTGCTCATTCTGAAGCCATGGCTCTGGCTCCATCTGTCATTGGACCTGACCTTTCACTTTGTGACTATTTGTGAATTGTGAATTGGTCTCTTTTATCATTTCTTTCTTTTTCTACTTGGCCATGATTTGATAATCTGACTATGCTATATTGACCTTACTTAAGAAAATTAATTTGCTGCACACACACACACACACACACATGAACGAATGATCAAGAGGGAGAAAGAGGTCTAGAGATCGTCAATCAAGTGGTATCATGAGTCAGCTCATGTCCTTTTGCCTTTTTCTACATTCAATGCAAGAAGATACGTATATTATCCCAAAACATTTAGATTAGAAGCCACTGCATCTCTCCAACTGATTAAGACCTTTGGGAATGTTAACTTAAAAATTTTTGCAAATGGATTTATGAAAAAATCTTCACTTGCTATCTCTTAAGATATGCCTATTTAAAGGATAAGAGTTTCCTCATCTGGTATATTCAAAGGGAATAGTAGAAGCAGAAAAAGGCAAAAAAGTAGAAGCTGAAAAAAAAAATGAGATGATTAAATAAATAATGCTAGTGTTTAAAGGAATATGATATGGTAGAATTAATAACCATCTTTTGAAAACAAAAGATCACATTTCCTACATAAGCCAACCATGAAGATGTTCATCAACATTCAGGTATCTGAATGCTTTCAGGTTGGAAACTAAGGTTCTTGTCCTTTATATAAGTTATGATAATTTCTTTTTGCAGCTGGAAAACAATGCACAGCCAGCCATAATCACCAAAGACCTGTGTATGGTTGTTTACGGTCGAGACTCCCGAACTATCCCACGTTCCCTTCGACATATCTTCAGTGGCTCATACAAGAATGCTGAGGCCAACAGGATCTGCGGCGTTTATGAGACAGTGCTAAAGCGCGCAGCTGAAGCAGGTAGCCCAGGTTTGTGGTTTAGTCCTAACAGATGTAGAGAGGTGGTCAAGGGCCGCCCAACCTACCCAGAAGCCTGATTTTGGAAAACCTGCCCATATTTGTGTGCAGGTTTAGGGGGGTGGGAGGGCGGCTGTATCTATGACTGGGCCACCCTGCAACCACCACTGCTTCTCCAGCTACGGTAGGCTGCCTTGCTGCTGTCCTACCTGCCACTAGTCTTTACTGAATACTGTAATTTCATCATACATTTTAAATTGAAAATCATCTTTATCTCTTAATTGAGCTTCAGCTGAAATGCACAAAAATATTTTTATATACAACATCATGTAATTGAATCTCAGTTAGTATTATCTGTCTGCATGTGGACTGTGCCCATTGGATATACAGTATCATCATCATACATTTGCTCAATATCTCTTTGATACAGACTGAATCTGGATAAAAGTTCACTATCATGCCAAACTGAGTAAGTCACCAGTATGGAAGTTTCATACAAGAGAAATATATGCATGTTTCTTAAAACCAGGATGAATTAATAAAACCAAAATATTTTATAGTCAGGGACCATAATGAGTGACCATAATTTACAGCACACATCTTTTACAACAGAACATAACTTGTCAAGTTGAGATGGGGGCTGAATACTGTTTAGTACAACTGTCTCTTCCACTTATATTTGGATTCTGGAGATTCTCCAGTGATATAATGGTGGTCTTGAAGACCAGGGACTCCATTGGTCAGTAAAATGAAATCAATCCTAATGTAAAAAAATAGGACTTCAACCACCCAAATCCTCATCCAGCCACTTCTCTTCTTACTGTCAATACCTTCAAATAATTCAGTTCCACATATGTTGGATTCTTACCTTTTTGATTGATATTTGAGACATTAAGTGCAATTATTATGTCTCCTAGAAAAAAGAAAGACAATTATATACCTGTGTGTCTTCATCTTTTTTATTCTTGCATATAATTACCACTTCATCGTCACTCCTTCAATTCTAGGCAAATTAATTTTAAATTTGGTTTATTTGTATCTTTCTCCAGTACAGTATGATTTGATTCCTTTTTATTTTTTGTTTTGGCTTTTGGGGGATTTTATGGGGGTCATAGGTCAAACAACCCAAAATGCATTATACCTACCTAACTGTCTAATGGAGGATGAAATATGGAGTCATGTTGCATAACCTTGCAAATGTTGGCTTTATTTTTTTATATTGCTTTTTTTTTTATTAAATTACAGTACCAGTATGGTAATTCAGCTTCACTGTAATTTCCCAAAGTAAATTTTAAGATTTATGAATATAATTTATTTTACAATGAATATACAGTACAGTACTGTAGTTGAATCAGAACATATTGGCCAGTACATTCTGTACTCTTGATATGTGAGGCAGCGATTGTCATTGTTAGTGTTATATGCGTCTCTAGCCATGAGGTGCTATTTTTAACCTATTGCTTCTTACTACACTTACTGACAATTGTTTATGCATTACAATCATATTTTGATATTATATTTATCCTTTTAATTCTAATTTTATGACACAATTATCATACAATTTACATCCATCTTTATCCATTACTATCAATAATTCATAGATAAGCCAATACTTGTAAAATTATTATTTTTATTTGTCTGCTGAAGACAATCAGCAGTGTTTGTGTCACTTGCCCATTCTACAAGTTCAGGCTCACTGTCACTGATATTTTTTATGGAAGGTTTATATTTTTTTTCTTAATAGTATTAGTGAATATTTATTTACTGGTACTGTAGTTTCTATCAATCAATCAGAGTACTATCCTCATATCTGAGGGATGGCAACCATGGTCCTTCACTCTACATGTTCTTGGGCTGTATTTATCAATCCTCTAAGGTTTTATATCTCTCTGAGGATCTGGTTTTTAATTTAATTTATCCATCCTATTCTATGTCTTCACCTGGCCCTCCTATCTTCAACTTTGCCCATTAATATTTCTGTTATTATTCTCTCATCCCTAATTATATGACCAAAGTACAGTATCTCATATTTTCTTTTTCTGTACATTTCAAGTATTTTTCTTGAAGTTTTTGCTTTCTTAGTACTTCTCTATATGTTTTCCTGCCAGTGGAGCTTATTCCTAGCATTCGCGTATCACATCACATTTCAAAGGTCTTGAACACTTTCTGGTGTCTTCTAAAAGTGTCCACGCTTCTGACCCATACATCAGTCCTTGCCATAAACAGTAGGATCTCAAGTTTTGCGACTAATTGGTACCGGTTTTAGCATCGTGAAATTTAAAATCGCGAAACAAGTGACGTTGAAATACAGGTAAATAAGCCTAATTGGTTCCACGGTGTCACCCAAACCCCCCTATAATTACCTACAACCCACCAAGAAAATTACCTTACTGTTATGTATTCATACATATTTATATTGTACAGCCTCATTCAAGATTCTTCGAACACTGCTGGAGACAGCTGGCAACCCAAGGCCATTTGTTTACTATAGTATGTACGTAGTAAAAATTATGAATAAATGTAAAAGTGATCGGTGATTGGTTACTTAGTTCCCCGTTGCTTAATTTAATGGTTGGGCTTTGTTGTTTCGTATTATATTATACTACGTACTATAGTAAACAAATGGCCATGAGTTGCCAGCTGTCTCCAGCAGTGTTCGAAGAATCTTGAACGAGACTGTACATATTGTTGATAATATTTATATACACTCATACTGTAGAATAACTTACCTTGATGGAGTCAGTGAAATGCTTGACGGTGCTGGTTGATGGGTTCCGAGGCAGGGAGGGCAGGTTACTGCTTCTTCCCTGCTCCCTCCTCTACATCACCTTTAATCTCAGCATCAAATCCCTCAAAGTCTTGAGGTAACACTTCCACCAGTAAGTCACCCAACACTTCAATATCATCATCGGTGGTGCCATCATCATCTCCTAAAGTGATGTTTGCCAAGGTATTAACAGGCTGGGCCTTGTGCAGGTACTGAGTAATAAAGGCCTGCTGACAAGCATTAACATGGGACATATACAAGGCCTTATATTCCTCTACAGTATAACTTTTCAATGAAATGGCAGATAAAGTTGTGAGCATGAGGCCTGGCATCATAATCATCAAGTTATTCACTGAGATGTGAGGTGGTTCTGAGCATCTCAGTCAGCTACTGTGTTGTAGGTTCACCAGGCTTAATGTCATCCTCTTGTGTTGCTTGATGTTCTTCTTGTTCTTCATCCTCCTCCAACATTTCTTCAATTGTCGGTTGCTGCTGATGTTGACCAGCGATTTCTTGCAAATTTTCAACCTGAACATTCGAAAATCCCGGTGCTGGGACTGACCGTGCTGTCTCCACTGTCTCCATTAGTGTTGCTGCCACAGACTTCCTCTCCTCGCTTTCCTTGGTCTGTTCTGTCCCACATACCTCGGAGTTAATGAACAAAGGCTTCCATGTGTGTAGCACTGTTACAACATTTATCTTATGCCATGCCTCAACAATTCTGTCCACTGCATTTTTAATATTGTATTTCTCCCAAAATTCACAAACCGGTAACACTTCACGGTTGCGGGGTGGTGAGGCTAGCTGGTAGAGCCTGGTCACTGTCAGAGTTCTGCCTCGATTTGGTGTAACTCAACTGATGAGCCTGTCTGCTGACGAAAGTCTTTATAGAGTGACTGATAGTGGAACACTTTAATATTACTGATGAATTCATGGTCAAGTGGCTGCAGAAGCGATGTGGTGTTAGGAGGAAGGAAGATAACGTGTACATTAGGGTGGCATCCAATTAGAAACTTAGTGTGTCCAGGAGCATTATCCATCACCAGGATCACTTTGAAGTTAATGTTCTTCCTCCGGTGATACTAATGGGCATCAGGGACAAAGTGCTTGTCAAACCAATTGGTGCATAAAGACGTTGTAACCCAAAGGCTTTCTTATTAGATGTCCAATAAACATTGAGCTGCGACATATTTGCATGACGGTAGGCTCTAGGCGGACAACACGGTTAACAACCAGGGGTTTCATCAAGAAATCTCCACTTGCATTAGCTGTGAATAAAACTGTAATCCTGTCCTTTGAAGTCTTTACATCCCTTGCCTGTTTTCCATCCTTGGCAATGAAAGTGGTCTTAGGAGAGCGCTTCCAGAAAATGCCAGTTTCGTCACAATAACCACCCTCTTTCACAAGAGCTTGAAAGACAAGTAGATATTTTTCTGCTGCTACAACATCAGCCGATGCACTCTCCCCATGGTAGTGGGCAAACTTGACTTCATAATGCTTTTTAAAAGCCGCCAACCAACCAATAGAAGCATTGAACGGTGGTGGAGAGTTAATGCGATTCTTCTGTGTAATTGCAGCATAATAAACACGTGCTTGATGCCTTATCTGTGGCCCAGACAGGTCGCCTCTCTTGTGATTTCTTCATTCCACCCACCTGTGAAGGTAATGTTCTGTGATAACAAGCAGTAGGTTTTGTTGTGAAGTATTGGAGAACGTCCTGTTACTAAAAAATCTTGAGAATACATTCACAGAAGCAGTTAAGGCTTCCTTGTTCTTCTCAAGGAAAAGTATGATTGATTCGGGGCAGTTGAACCTACGCATGATTTCACAGGTACGAGCACCACTTTTGATCATCTCAAGCATCTCTCGTTTCATTTCAAGGGTGTATTTCCTCTTATGGTAGTCTCGCTTGGCTTGGGGCTTTCCTTGTTGACCTTCTCTACCGCCATCATTTCCACCAGAACTGCTCCCGATATTTACATTACGTACCTTACTTATCGTTAATACACAGGAATCGTTAATTCACAATAATCGCTAGTACACAAGAATTGCTAGTTCACAAGAATCGTTAATGCACAAGAATCGTTAATACACAAGAATCATTAATACACAAGAGTCGCTAGTACACAAGATTCGCTAGTACACAAGAATCGTTAATACACAAGAATTGTTAATACAAAAGAATTGTTAATAGTTGAACAAGAATCTCACAAAACGTAAGCACAATGGGTCATATAACCCAAGG